CTTTCGATGTGCACAAAATTTGGCATTGCGTACTGAATTAAGTCTAGAATGATGTGTGTTAAGTTTCGTGAAAATCGGTTCAGATTTAGATATAGCTCCCATATATATTTGCCGAATTTAATTTTAATTTTGCACGAAATTTGACCGATTTTAATATCCAAAGTTAAGCCGATTGCCACACAATTTTGCACAACGTACTAAAGTTCGTGTAATATAATATGTGTCAAGTTTTGCTGAAATCAGTTCGGACTTAGACATAGCTCCCATATATATTTTCTTTCGATTTTAAATAACTGGTGCTCCATAGACTCAATGTTAGGCCGATTTACATAAAATTTAATAAAATTGTAACAAACTAATGACATATTTATGGATTGATCTATGTCGGTTCACATTTTGATAATGGTCACATATTTCAGTTTATCCAATGTCATGTTAAAGGCCCTTCTGTTAGGATGCATCTTTTTAATATACGCATAGTGGTGAAGGGTATAATATAGTCGGCCCCGTTCGACTTTACTTTTTTCAATTTCGTCCAATTTAAAGTAAATGTTATTTTATTTTTTCGGCAATAGAAGATTCTCGTAGATTCTGAAACTGGCCATTAGTGTAACGAAATTTAAACTCTTAATAAGTGAATATTTATACAAATAAATAGTAATGAAGTTTTAAAAATATAGATGACGAAAGATGACAGATTATAAACATAGATTACAGAAAGACAAGAGAAGATTACAGAAAGACATACAGTCAGTCAGTCAGTCAGTCAGTTAAAATTGATGATTGCCCTCTAAAAAAAAGAGGACGTATGATCAACATAATTATTTATATTTTTAATAAATATATACGAATTTAACATTTAACAAATGATCTGTATTAAAGTAAAACATTGTTTAATAACTTGATCATCTGATTATCTACTCATCAAATGTGTTGAAGTTCCAAGCCCAATTTCCAGATTTTTAAGTTTCTGTAATTAGGTACACCTTAAGTACAGTATTTACAGCATTTTGGTATCAGGTTTAATACGATTTGACTGTAATTTGATATTTCAGTTCTTATTGGGTAGCAAATCTCCCTTTCAAAAATTATCATTATTGGTTCACATTTCGGAGTAGCCCCCAAATGAGCTACCCTCAATATTCCCCATAAACATTATGGTTATCGAACCTCCTTTAAGGGTACCTCCATAGAACGATGCTACCGATGTTTGGTGTTTTGACATCCATTTGGAAAAAAATGTCGGTATAGGTCTACTAATAGTTCCCAGTGGGGCTGGGAACTTCCCTATAAAGCATATTTCGAATATTAATTTTATTTTAAACTAGCGGGCCCGGCAAACGTTGTCTTGCGTAGCACATTTGTAATGTATAATTTTCGGCACTTTAGATTTGTTTTTATACCCTACACCATAAAGTGGAATGTACAAGTCTTTGTAATACCTTGGCATTTAGCAGAGCACACATAAAGTAACCTTAGTACTGAATATCTACAATTTGATGTTAATGAGCGAGTCTTTTTGCTATTTATGCCTTCTAAACTTTCTGTGGCTATAAGTTCTTTAATATTTGAATTCGTGCACATATATGTTTATTATATATTTATAATAGAACTTTGCAATGTGCACATATATTACTGCTACTCCTAGGATATTTGGTATTGAAAATGTTCAATATTTTAGCTCCCATATAACGGCACTTAATGAGCAAAAAATCTCCCTTTATGTAAAGTACTCCAAATGTGAGGATTTGGACACGTTTTTTAATCTAATCAGCTGAAGTTTGGTATTGGTTTCTTTATTTGGTTGAATGAATCATACTACAAATTATAAATATTGGTCCACTCTTTTAGGTAGCTCCCATATTACGGTACCCACAACATTCGGTATTTTGGCGAGTTTGGTCCTGTGTTTATACCAAAGTGGCTGTAATTTTTAACTTTGGATGATCAACACCTCTTTAAAAAAATTAATAATATTGGTTCAAGTTTCCCGGTAGTAACCATGGTATCGGCCATAGTTCATTATTTTCTCATGTTGTGTTAAATCTTCTTTACAAAAATAAATATATATCCATTCCCATTGTAGCAACGGTAATATGTAATTCCGGGATATTGAAATTTTTCTATTTAGGTTAATGTTTTCATATAGCTCATACTTATAGGTCCCGCCCTATTTTTTTGTATTATAAAGACTTCGACCGAATTTTCCTTTAGATTTTGTGAATGAAAAACTTCTTCCCAGAAATTATGCACTGTAGGTAAACGTTTTAAAAAAACGCCACACATATTTTCCGTTTAATTTTTGGTAAGTTCTTACCCAGTAATTTTGAACATTATTTTTTCAAAACATGGACTAGATAATGCTCTATATACAGGTACCTGGCATATTGAATAGGTAACATCATGAGACTCTTTGTTATAATAAATGTTTTTGACAGAGTATTTTTTATGAGCTTATTGATAGAATTTTGCACATATTCGAGGTGTAGTGTTTATAATTTCAAAAACATTGACCAACCATTGGACATATAGTACCATATAATGGTACCACCTGATTTGATATTTTCCGTGGCATGAGGTACTTTGAGGAACAATATGTCCCTATGGAACTATTATTATTATTATTTTAAGAAATATAATCGGAATGTCTTCTGAATTTCATCTTTGCGTTTGTCCCAAAATGTACGTGCATTTTATGGAAAACGTGTACATATAATGAAATATAAATAGTATATACATACTTCTCAATTGTTTCCTGTATTCTCACAAAAAATTTTCAATATAATGTCAACCCAATTGAAAAAAAAAATATTTTGAAAATTTTCAATAATTGACAAATGAAGGCCCAAAGCCCAAAATATCTCAAAATAACAAATACGACGTGGTGCAATCAGAATAGCTCGATTCTAAATTCGTGGAATTGCAAATTTGCTTCATAATATTTATTATTATTTTTTTTTTTTTTGCAAATTGCTCGCGGTTTTCGATTTTTACTCGCCTTTTAAACCTTTTCCTTATACTACCTTCACAGCATCACAATATCCGTTCAACACAAAAATGTATATACAATTTTCGACAATCCCTTTTTAAAAGAAAGACAACAATTTATTTTTTCGGTTAATTTTGTTTTATTCAAATAAAATTAAACTTACAGCTAAAAGTTAGTTATTCAATAATTTAGATAAACTTGGTTTAAAAATATGCATAGTTTTTGGAGTTAAACATTCTTTTCGTTATATATGTATAAATATAGATGTGTATATATGTGTAAGAGTGTATATCATACTTAATATGTAGTCAGTTTCATTTGTTTTTAACCATACAGATACATATAAATTATTACCTTAAATCGAATTGTCTTACAACTAGAAGATTTTCTTTATTATTATTAAAAGTTATTGCTTTGCTTTATTTACTGTTCTCATTATTGTTATTTCTTTACCATAGTTATTGTATTCGGATGTTCATATGTATTTTGTAATTAATGTAAATAATGGAAGTAAAATTAGTTTTTGAGAATTGTACTTTAGACTTTGTATTCACTTTCGTATAGATTAGTTTTCTATAAATGTGAAAGTATTTACAATGGTATGTGTATTATTAAGTGCTATGTACTAATATATAGAAACTTGTTTTTGTTTTATTTGCATTTTTTTTAAACTACATCCTTTAGGAAGCATTAGCATATTTGGTACATAAATCATTTTATGTTCTAAGATATGTCATAACATTTTAAAATTTGAAGCTGAAGTTTACATCCTTGAACATACACACGAAATACTTATCTTAGCCGAAAGTCATCAATTTTAGTTTTATGTATATTAAAGCAAAAAAAAAAATCATTTTATTTTTCAATTGAACAAAGATAAGAAAGCGGGCATTTGCCAAAAATGGTAACGCCAAAAAGAAATGGAAATACAGCAGCAACAGAAAAGAAGCCGTCTAGCCAAAGGCCATGATTAAATGATGCCAAAACGTATTATTTTATTGCATGCACATCGACCATACCAGCATGACCAAATTACCGGTCTGTCTGGTTGCCATTTGGAGGCTACTGCCTGAGATAAATATTGAAAATCAATAATGATGCACAGTGTTTTTCAAATTAGAAATTTAGTAGAAAATATTATTGAAACGCTGATAAGTCCACATAGAACTACTTCGACTACAAGGCAATGGGAAAAAAGTTCTTCTTATAGGAAACTGCATTCCCATTTGTGATACGGTATATCGTACTATATCGGCTTGGACATTTAGTCTCCATCGAATATAAACACTATCGGCATTTTCAGAAACATTTATCGAAGAGCATTTCATTGTCATAAGTCCACCAAAAGGTCTTCTACTCATAGAAGTCCATTGGTAGGTCGTTTCATCGACAAAATTAGATATATCAAAATTTATAAAATATTCAGAACAACAATTCCATTCCATTGTTTCCAGCAATTATCCTCTGTTAGTGACCATTATCGTGGATGGCTATAAAATATATTTGTTGTGGAATATTAAAAAAGTCGAAGAATTTTTGTTCTGACTTTACATTACAATATAGATAACAGAAGTCGCCTTTAACGACGATCATGAAACTGGAGAAATAGGTTTTCCATCTAATTTTTTTAATTTCTTTCAAATAAATATTCACTGTGAATGCTACTGTGCACCATTAATTCGTACAAAAACATCTAAACGGCAAATGCAAACTACAACAACAACACGAAAAAACACATTCGAAGACAAAAACAAAAATCCTTAATTAATATGTAGCTGCTTCTAACAGCATAAATTATTGTGAAGAAGATGACGGTGATGATGGTGGTGGTGGTAGCAACGACGATAATGGCCTTAGTAGCTACGCAGTTGTGGCGTGGTATTGGCGACGGCGGTATCGATTATGCCATTGGCGGCAGTATCACTAGTAGAGGAGGCATTGATTTGCTTTTTTGCATGCGGATGCAATCGGCAGTGGTTATGTTGTATTCGCAGACCAGTTTTTTAGCAGCATCGATGCTCACGCATTTGCTTGTAAATCACGAAATGATACAGTTCTTGTCTTTGTCGTTCGGATCGGATGGCTTGCGTTTGCGATCATAGGCCAAGGCGTCATTCGGTACATAGCTAACGCGTACACCGCCATAATGACGTCGCTGTGGCAGTTGATACATCATATAATCCTCCGAACTGGACGAACTGGATGAACAGGTCGAGCAGACACTGGACGCATCATCGGAATCGTCATCATGTTGACCACTGGACATGACAGTTTGTGATGAATGATGATGACGTGTAGGATCTAGCGCTGCCGACTGTAGTATTGACGGTGGTCCTTGGTACGAGGAAGACAGTGGTTGTGTTGTGGTGTAGGTGTCAGCACGAGTTGTGGAGTTGGAACGATGACCACTGCCTGAACGATGGGATTTTCGACGTCTTCGTCGCCGGGAAGAGTGACCGCCATGTCGTTGTGTTGTATCAGAGCTGTTGTCATTGCCGCGATTTGTTCCCGCACCATTACCTGAATAACTACGAGATCGTGGTAAAGTATCGGCGGGTATGCCTTCGAATCGCACACCTTTGGCTTTTTTGCTTTCGCCACCACCACTCATCGGCGATGAGGACGAAGCTCCACTCAGAATAGATACTGGATGTATGGGAGGATTTGTACCAGACTGACCCGACTGATGTGACACAATGGAGCGTTCACCCGCAGAGGCTGTTGGAGATCCCATCAACTCGGGAGGTAAAGCTGTTGAAGCCACCGATAAATTTGGCGTTGGAAGATCAGGAACTTCAGATGGTGGTGCCGAGGTGATACCATGTGTTTGATTTGGTTGCAATGGCTGAGAATATTCCGGACAGTTGCCATATTGAGGGTTCATAGCATTGGGATTTTGAGGTAATGAAGTATTTGTTTGTATCGACAGCTCAGGCATACTGGATGTCTTCGTGTTTTCCACCTCGGATATTTGATGCAGCTGCCGTTGTAGGTTATAACTGTTGGCTCCCGACAGCATCGGCTTATTTGGCCAGGTTGAATCTAAATTGAGAGCCATTTCATTGAAATTATAAGGACCCTCATGTTTCAGTTCCATGGGCTTTGGCATCAAATGGTTAAATTCTCCCGGCGATGTCAATGGCGACATGTTCTGTGACGATGACGAGTTAATGCCGCCTGAAAAGTCAGTAAAATCACCCGCAGTATGTTCCATATCCTTGACCACCCCCGCATCTGAATCTGAAGTGGGGTAGCTTTGCTTAGCACCATCTGATGGTGTGGATATCCCCACCAAACCCACATTGGAACCTCCAACAACATTCACACTGCTGCTGTTCGAAATGCCAGCCGCTATTTGCTGACTTTGCAGTTGATACATGGCATTATTGAAGTTTTGCTGATGCTGCTGCTGTTGCAAAGGTGACATTGGCGGCGAACTTGAGGCATGACTTGACGGAATACGCGTTTGAGGTCTTACTCTCTGAGTGGGTGGTGTAGGTGTGGTATACATGCCGGTGCCCGAGCTGTCCGACGGTGTTGGTGGCTCACCTTTGCTGCAGGCTATGGAACAGTAGATGGAACCACGTCTGGGCAAGAATGCACGTCCCAGCAACGAACAGCGACATGTGTTGCAAGAGAAGCACTCATCGGTGGCATGCCAATGCTGGCCGTCATGACTCATTTGTCCTTGATCTACGCCAATTGCCTCGCCACAGTAATCACAGTATTCAGCGAACATCGCATCGAAACAGAGCAGACAATAGGGTTTGCCCTCACGCATAATGTACCTTTGTCCACCCAATTGTTTTTCGCACTCCTGGCAGGCGAAATGATTCATATGCCAAGCACGTCCTTCTGCTTCGGTGCACTCGTCGGCCAAGATAATCTGAAAGACAGAATAGAGGAATGAAAAAAATTGAAAAAGTTTTTGGTTATTCCGTTACATGACTAGAGCTTTCTTTATGTCACTTGAAATACAAAAAAAGAGAGAATGGAAAATCCTTAAACTAACTTTCTTCATCAGTGGTGCAATGTTACCCAGGACGACTAACTATTTATGACAGAAGGTGAACGGAAGCATAGACTAGTGCGAAAGTATTGGAATTTCTTCATAGTTTAGTGCGTGCTATGGTCGTGAGTTTGTAAAAGTTTTGTATCATTAAATTTTTGATTAGAGATTTTTATAACTATTGAAATATTGATAAAGCGCGTTTCGTTATTAGATAAAAGCTAAGACCTCTATTTGGCAAAAGATACAGCTACTAAAGGTAAAACGGAATTGTATATTTTCTTCATTTTTGTTCATTGCCTAAAAAAGTGGTAATAAGCTAGATACTGATTAGGAACTAGTCTTATCTCTCCAATATTTATGAATTCATATGTTTCTTAACCTTGCGACAATTGAAAAAAAGCCTTTAACAGAATAAATTATTTTGCAAAAGTTATAATCAAAATGGCCATAACTTTCAAACCGTCTAGCTCTTCAATTTTACTTTAACTTTTTCCTGAAGTGACATTGTACCTAAACTAATGGCACGTTCAACTTGATTAATTCGCATCTGAGAGAAAAAACTTTATCCATACATTTAAGGAGAAGAAGAAAAAGTTCCATGAAAACTTACCTCATCACAGGCTGAACAACGTGGTTTCAAAGTTTCTGCATGATGACGGCCACAATAGAGTCGTCCATCTCGATGAAAGTAGATAAGATCGACAAGTAATTCGCGACAAACGCAGCATACAAAACATCCAGGATGCCAGGAGGCATTTGGGCCCAAACGCGAAGCAAATACTGCCATGTCACCGGTGGAAATCAAATCATCGCACTGAAATTAGATTTGCAAAATGAGACATTAAATTAATATCAAAATCATAAAATGCTTTGGTAAAAGAAACTAAAAGGCTGGGAAAAAACTTGTTTGCCTCCAAATATGAATGGTGGCCAAGAAGAAAACAAAAATTACAGGAAAGAGCTCGTTAAAAAGTACTTGAATATTTTCGAAGAAACCCCCCAAAGAAAAGAGGAATGAAAAACTTTTAACACTTGACCTCCCTACCGACTGTCAACATTTACATTGTCTATTTGTTTGTGGCAGTTGTGACTTGGCTTCCTAGTAACTTTTCTCAGCGCTTCTAATGGCATACCTGCAACGGCTAAAGATAAACTTCAGAATGACTTGCATTCACACTTGGCCAAAGTATCTAGTGCAGCTGATGTCTCTGCAATCCCAGCTACCTACAATCATTCAATTACCCTCCAGTTAGCCAGGTCAAGTCATGTTTTAAGGTGTTCGTTATTTTTTTTTTCTTTCTTGCAACTAACAAAGTCAAGTTGAATTAAGTTTGTTGGTTGGCTTCCATTTGTCGGTTGCAGGTAACTTTTTTTCAAACATTGTCTACAGCAGCATTCTTAACGACATTCTCTTGGCCACTTGAAGTTTGTAGGTGGCCATGTACAATCAGTCTGAACACATGTCATGACACTTGGGTTAACAATTCGCTGACAGTTGCAACTTAAGTTGGTTTGTTTGTCACAAACGGGGGATGTGTCGTTGTTTGAAGCATTAGCAATGTTGCTATCCGACACCCCAGTCATTAACTAAGAAGTAACTTTTAATTGTGTACAGGTTTTTTGTTATTCATTATTTTTTATGAAATAAATTGAATATTTTGCAGAATTTATTAAATTACCTTCAGAAAATTATTAAAAAAATCCTTACCATGTCTTATATTAAGTTGATACAGATTGTTTCATGATTGTTTCATGAGCGTCTGACCATAGTCAGACCACATATTCGTAAATTAAAATTTACGGATGGGTGGCAGCTAGTTAATTTTTTGTGTGGAATTGGAGTAGTGTGATTTTGTTCCTCTGTGGCAAAATTGGTCGACTCATAGATTCCGATTTAATGTCAGACATGGTAAAAATCACTTCAGATTCCGACATAACTTCTACGCATAAATGAGACCAATTTAATATAAATAAATTGTGAAATAATTGAGTCAAGAATGAAACCGTCATAATAAGTTTAGATATAGCTATGTGATATACTATTTACTTCAACTTATTATGGGTTCCTACATTCCTACTGTTTATTCTCTACACAACTATGTTGTAAGGTTATTATAGTTTGCTGTTTCCCCAAGAGTTTGTAACGCCGCGAAATATTGGTCCTAGACCCATCTTTTAGTACACCAATTGACTAGCTGAGTCAATCTAGTCACGATACAAGCAACAGTTATGGACCAATCGTCACGAAATTTTGCTTGCAGGACGGGTTCTGCCCAATGAATGATCCGATAATATGTAGGGAATGAAATGGACAATAACTGATTTGTCTGTTTTTCTGGTCGATATAGAGGCTACAATTATGAACAGAACACCACGAAATTTTACTCCAGGAAGGGAATCTGGCCAAGGTCCATCTTTAGTGAGTAAAATTAACCTAGACTTTTGTGTGAAAAATGACAATGGCGTATATCCCCTCCTGAAGGGCACTAACTCGAGAAGTTGATAGCATATTCGGGAGGAGTGGTTGATCTCTAAATTGATACCAAATGTATTATTGTGTGAACTCGAATTTGGGAGTTATACTAACATAATTACAGGTGCATACATATTTTGATTTGGTTAATATTACCGTAACCACACTAGAAGCAAAAATGTCGCACGGATCGCTATGAAATTTTACATGAGGTTCCGGTTATGGCCAAGGACGACGTCTGTCGTTTTCGATGACATTTCGCCACTATTTTAGGCCGAACATCAGGTATACGTTTTTTCAGAAAGCTGACCAAAAAGTTGAATTCTTTTGATCTATGTAAGGTAAATATAATACCATTTTTAAAGCTTAGATGAAATTGGATATTCCGTTTGCTCCACATGACATTTCCAATGTTTCAAAATGTTGACTCTTTGTGGGGACATTATAACATTATACTAACAAGGTTAACATATTAGACCAAATGAAGTTATAAAAATCTAACTTATAAATATACACCAGAGTGATGTTTTCGAAAAGTATAAAATCTTCTGAGAACAATATGAAATATGGTGTATTAATTTTCTCACTTCGTATAGAAATATATCATATAGAAATCCATCATAAAATGTGAACAAAAGTTTAATACTCCATATTCTTTTTCTACTATATTCCCAATTTCTGAATTTTCATAAATATTTTCTTTGTCAATTTTATTATCTAAACCGAACATAATAACATAAAACTAATTATATTGTACCATAGTGTGCCAATTTTTATGCCACCATCGCCGTTAAATAATTTAACGGCACCTTGTGCCACTTTCCGCATTTGCATTTTTTGCAACACAAAAAATGACCTTCTCTCCCACTCTCTAGCAACGTCATGGAAAATGCAAAAATTACAAACTAATTTCATGCCAGCTTAACAGAGGTGGGAGAGAGCACTGAAATTTAATCTTAAATCGATAAATATCCATCTACTTACCCCATCGCAGGGACGTGCACTCATCAGTGGTCTGACATTGCCACGTCCAAGTGCATCACGTTTACGTTGTGTGGAGAATAGGCGAAGTTCTTTGCGTTCCTCATCCGTCAGCGAGTGACAGTAACGAACCTGAAATGACAGATAGACAAAGAGGGAAACAATGAAATAAACTTTCGGACCGAACAAGAAAAACAGAAAATACTCTTCCAGCTAGACCATCAACTGTTAAATAATAAATGCCAGTAAAATGTTTTGAATAGCAACTGTAACGCAGAAAAAGCAACATAAACTACATCTGATTTTAAGAAAATAAACAAACATTGTTTTCTTTTTACTAAAGAAGAAAAATCAACAAAGACATCTTTACAACGCCAACTAAAATGCACAGCAGCAGTTCCGTTCAGTAATGATCATATTCATTTATGAATTTTCTAGGACTACAACTATTCGGACTGCTTGCATATATCAAAATAAGCCAAAACATAAATAGAGCAAAGAACAAAACAAACGAAAATAACTATGGCCAATAGCAAAATGTCTATCAAACACTGGTCATAAAATGAAAAACTGCAACAACAACTGATATTCCTTTTTCGTCCATGGACATATTTATGCATCATGATATTCAATATTCTGACAGGCACCCTACATTTAGTTAAGCAGAATATATTTTAGGGAAATATATTTTTGCGTCCGTGTTTTGGTAAAACCCTACCATTGGGTAGTAAAGACTTTTATGATAGCCCTACATAACGGTATGATAGCCCCCCATTATTCGGTATTTTGGAGATTGACCATGTTTTTTCAACCTAAATGTCTTTAATTTGGTTTTCATTGGGTTTCAAATCCTCCTATCCAAATTTAAACTCCTAAATATCAACGAACGAACACACATGTCTAGATCGACTCAGCTACTCGAAATATGATTATCGGTATACAAAAAGATGGGCCTAGGACCAATGTTTCGTAGCGTTACAAACTCTTGGGGCTACACAAAGCTATAAGACCCTTGCAACAAAGTTGTGTAGGTTATAATAACACACATATACAACAATAACAAGAAAATTTGTGATCCCACGAAATTTTTCATGAAAACTTGAGACGACCTGAGACTAGAATGAGGAGCGTTGAGTTTTTTAGATATAGATTTCGGATTTGGATATAGCTCCTATATATGCACTATTCAAGGTGATTATCCTTATTTAGTTGACCCTTCCGACTTTTGTCCTTTCTACTACTGGTTTTATCTACAATCGAGGCAATTTTTATCGAAGTTCACACAAAATCAAATATCGAATATCTTAAAATTAAAATATACCCTATTTTCCAATTTTACTCCCTGCAGAAAAATATATTTCAAAAGGACATAATGGTAAAAATACCTAAGAGGAATTCGAGTTTGATCTACAATTTATTTGAAATATAAACTTCCCATTCTAAAGTCCAAAGGATGCTCCTATGCTCTCAGTTTTGAAATTTATTCCTTTGCCCATTGGTATCGTCACATGTTATAAAATAGCATAAAATATTGCCGTACTAACCGTCTCACCATATTATTAATGATAAACTTCTGGTATTTGTAGTTGCCATGACTAGGCTATTGTGAATGTGTTATGGTTAAGGCGTTAGATGTTGGACCAACAATGAATGCTACTAGTGTGGTTGTTGTTGCTGTAGTTGCTTTGGGATGTTGTTTTTCACGGGGACTCTTGCATTTGAGTGTTAGTTTTCAAAATGTTGCTGTTGTTGTTCTTGTTATTCGTATGGTTATATCCAACAAAAACAGTAGCCGTCATACCAAACAAACATAACCATTTTGGCCAAAGTCTCTCCATCGTCGACGTCGTCGTCAGTTAGATTTAAATGTGTCCGAAACAATTTCAGCTGTATGCAAATACTATCACACAGACAAACCTAAAAAGACTAACCATGAACCTTGGTAGACAGACAGGAGATATCGCAACCGAAAGCTGATGGTGCGATGCATACACTCATGGCCTACGGGCCAGGCCATTGAGTTCCCCTCTGAGCATTTGTAACACAAACACACACGCACACACTTGGATGCATATATGGTGTTTATAGTTTTAATCCTAAAGCCTATGATTTGTTTGCCATCTCAATACTGTCCACACTGGTCCCCGAACAAAAGCCCAAACAGCAACACACATCCAGATATACATATGTATGTTTGTCGACAAGATATGCAGACTTGACGCTCAATGGTCGTTTTGTTTTTGAAATTTTAAACATTTTACACTTTGGTAGGGCTTTCCTCAATTTCTTTATTTGATTATTATGGACATAGATTCCTGTTTGTTAAGTGTGTGCAGCACTGTGATTTCGAAGAGGCATTTTTGTTGAAAGATTACAATGTGAGGCAGACAAATCCTGTTTGTATGACCTATAGTCAAACTTCTATGGAGATTTAGACGAAGTAATTGATATGGATTGTTGAATTTTTGTAAAAATTTTATAGTTATATGAGTATCGTTGAAAATCGAAGATCTGTTCTTTCGGCTCACATTTTGGTTTGGTCACAATGTTTCCTAACAAAAATTAACTAATTCTACTTCAGCTTCGAACGAAAAATATTTACAATGTAATTTTGATGATTCGATGAATGTCGGATGATTCTCCATAATAATACGTAGAATTATTAGCCCAGATTCGTCCAGTCTTTCTATCATTTATAGGTGACGTTGGAGTGCCCCACAGATTTTTTCATTTTCATAATATCGGGTGCTTGGAGGCTGACATACATCTATATAGAACATGATTACTATCGATTCATGAATGGACATAATCCGCCCATTATCGGGATTTTAAAAGTTGTTGCTTCATTTTATTGCCAAAGTGGCTGTAATTTGACATTTCGAGTTTTTCGAGGCTGACATACATCAATATAGACAAGAAAAACGTCGTTAAGTTCGTCCGATACCACAATGTCCTTGTTCCCTTGTTTGGAAGCCATGAAAACATCAAAAAGCTATATTGAACACTTTGTGGAAAGAAGTGTATTATTCAAAAGGAATCTGAAAAAAATATAGAATAAGGGGGGATAGTTTTATATGGGGTCAATGTCCAAGTACTGATAATTTGCTGCATAAATGTATGTTAGGCTCCTAAACTCCGCAATGCGAATTTACACTTACTTCGGTAGGAAAATGTGGTTTAAAACCTCAAAATACCAAAAATTTTATGGTACCGTTCTATCGGACCAGTTGACCAGTATTAACCAAGTTGTTTGGGGGGAAGACGTGCCATAAAGCCCAAAATATCAAATTATAGTAAATTCGGTTGAAATACGTGCCCAAATGGATGGTTCCGCTTTATGGTAGGGAGATTTCCAACCCTGAGAATCCAAAATATCGGATTGGAGCCAATTCGGTTTAGTCCTAGACCAAAATTTTAGTACACCGATCGTCATATCACGACTAGAAATGGGAAATTACAAAACTCTTTTAAATTCCTTGAAACTGAGGTTTGCAAGGTTATAACTCGCGAAATATGAACATATTGCATATAATTTAAATTCATTTCTATAAAATGAAGTGATCTTGTCAAAATCTTAAAATATTGGTAATAAATAATAAGTTTGGTGGAAGCTGTGATGGTGGTAATATAAAAAAATGGGTGAAAATGTGTTGAAGCCAACGTGTTTTTTGTGTTCGTTCCTGATTTGTGGCTATACTACACAACGCATGCACATGTGATCAGTGACTAAGTTGCAGAATACCCCATGGACAATATGATTCTAATGTATGATTTTTCGATATAATCACTGCATCCACCCAAAATGAATGCTGACATTTTGAAGCCAGATTTTCGGAGTTTTTTGAATTTTTCTGATAACTAGGATGCGTATCTAGATAATGAACTAAACTAATTATAGGACTGTAGAACTCGCGATTTGGCTTCGTTTGGTGTATATCTCATGAATGTGCTCACCGCAGCTTCTTTGTAATTGGGTTCCAAAGACGAAAATTTGGTGCGTACATTTTTATAAAAAAAACTTATTTTTTGAGTCTAAAATTAAGAAAGTCCATTCAAATTCCGTGGAACCCCGCGTGATTTTAGTTTTTTTACGTGCCGGATCTAATGATATAGGTACCGGCGGATATAGGTACCTTGAATGTGGGAAAAACTGCAAAAACTTATTTTGACAAATTCGCGTAAATAATCGCGTTTTTCTTCGAATTGATTTTACCTACATTCATTCTTGTGTTATCATATTCGCGAATCTGTGTGAAAATATGTCAGAAATATATCGATACGCGAATAATATGCGTATTTTATCCAAAATCGATTGTGGAGGCACATCCGCGGTTCTTAACCGATCCTTTTAAAATGGGTGTCCTTTTGTGTATTTTCATAGGAGATTTCTGAAATCGGATGCGCATAAAAATCGTATGCACGTTGCGTGATTTTTAATCATTTTTAGGTTTTTTGCACAGTAAAGTGCATCGAGCGGAACACTTTGACCGCTAAATTAAACATCGAAAAATTCATAATTATTGAAAGACATTGATTCGGTTTATACAAAAACCGCATGCGCATCAACTGATTTCAACTAATACGCGAATTGCATGCATTTAAATATTGATAATTTGTATATATTGTAACTGCAATATATTTAGTCATTTTTACAGTCGAAACTGTTATCAGATGAATATACCGATATTTAACAATCATCTAAAAGAATTTGAAGAAAAAAGAGTTGCATATTTTATAAGATAAGGGAAAGACCGTATTCCCTTAACCATACTAAAAAAATCGGAAATTCAAAAAACATTTCGATTTAATTAAAAAATTAATTTATTTTATTTTCAGATGTCTTCATGTTTCAATTTATTTTTCGCGACAATTTAACCATATTTCAATGTGATTTGACTAGTACTGCAAAGAAAACAAATTTGTTTAACCATTTGTGAAGAAATTCGCGAATTACAACAAATAGGAATTAATTTAATTTATATTTGAATTACAAGATTTAAAACCGCTATAACTTTTGTGCGCAGCATCCGAATTTGTGAACGGGAACAGATTTCGAATAAGCATATTTTTCTTAATCTATGTACCAAAAATCATAAATGTGCTCGCAAAAAAAATTTTCAAATTTTTTTTAATGGAATTTTAAAAGAATTTTCTAATTTCCCATATGTGTGTCCCATTACAATTTGTAAACAAGATACAGGACCATGGACCAATCTCCACGAAATTTTTCATGTAGGACGTGATCTGGCCAATGAAGACTCCTATTAGTAATGATCCCCTGTTTTTGGTAATGATCAGTTAATATTTAGCGGAGATATGGACCAAAACCTTTATTTTTGTCGCTCCAGAAGCCACTATTATGACCCGAACATCACGAAATTTTACACAGAGAAAGGGGCCTGACCATAGAATTTTGATGAAGATCGGCCAATTTTTGGGGTTAAAATGGATCCAGACATTTGTGTGAAAAATTATAAAATTTTCATTCTATAACGGAGGACTCTATTGTAAGCCGATCATCACAAATTTTACGCAGATAAGTCAATATTTAGAGGGTCAACTGCGCCAAGCCTTTTGTGTGTAGAATAAAAGAGGGGTAAGAAAGAGGAGCTGTTGACCTCTAATCGATTAAGATCTGCAGAAAATTAGAGTTCGGTTGTGGTTGGGTAGGTTAACATACTATAGACCCCGTTTGACTATACTGCTCCGCTCACTGGTTTATATTTTGAAGGGTTTAGCCGCACTGGAAAGGGGGAGAAACAGTTTTGAAGAACCTTGTCTATACATAGACCACTGGGAAGAAAACACTTTTCCTAGCACACACTTTTCAATTACATAAAGAGGATATACATGGTGGAGGGTATAAAGAGTTCGGCATGGCTGAACTTAACATGTCATCGCAACCACTGTCCGAAAATGTTCGTCGATATCTTTGTGCTATAAAGTCTGTCAATAGATTTTCATACGTCCATTTCCGGAATGGAGTAAAATCAGTGCTCCACATTGATGTCATTGTTGTTGTAGTTGTTTTTGGCCTATTGGTGGTATTGATATGATACCATTTTTTGTTGGACTTTTGCTGCTGATGTAAGTGGCGTTCTCTTAGCTATTGTTGTTGGTTTTATTGTTGCCATTGGCGGTAGCCCCAACAGTGATGGCAGGCTCGATGTTAAGAGAATTGTTTGTCAGTTTGATTTTACCAACAAGCCAGACCAGACATCCAAGTTCAGTTCAGTTGAGTTCACTCTTGTTTGGAGCTTGGCTCCTTCAACCATTACAATTCTGTTCGGTGTTCTGGTTTTGCTTGTTAACAACATGGCAATTCCAATCAATGAAGTTATCTGATATGGGAAATTTTTGAATTCATTTTTGTTTTCTTTTCACTATTGCGCACAAACATACCCACACACACACATAGACATGTTTCTACTATGCTTCACTTTAGAGTTTAACTTGTTTTGTGGTTATACTTTGCATCTACGTTTGTATTTGTAATATATGGTTATGCTCTGCATCTATGTATGTATTTGTATGCACATAAACACTAACACATGTAAGCAACGAGTTTACATATTTACGTACAAAATATTGTATAAAATGCTCGTTAGTTGTGGGAAAAAATTCATTAGCAGAAATGTAAGTAGTTGGTCAGAAAAAAGTCAACAACATCAAAGTGCGAAACTTCTTTAACCTTGCCATGTAATTTCGAATGAGGATATTCGGGATTTTGTTTCACAAAATTCCTATTGCAGAAAATCATTATTTTTGATAGGGATTTAAATATGTGACAAAAGATCTCAGATTTTCCTGAAGAAATTGAGATATTTCCAGATGTTTTTTTTCATTGTAATCTCTTCTATATAAACAATCTGGCAACACCATGCCCATATGCATATTGAAATTAGAATTCAGATTTAATATGTATGCCACAGTTTGTTAGCATCATAACCCCTCTCATGGTCATTTGTTGTTACATGGATACTGTCTCTTTTTCACATCTTCCAAGTGGGTGTTAGTCACAGGTGATGCTATCTATGGTGCCAATGTTGAGTCTGACTAAAAAACGTCCACAACCATGGCAACTCAAACTACAACAACATTAATACTAAAATATTTTTATTTGTATCCTGTTGTACATGTAATTGAAACAAACTAAATCTGCATTTTAATGGCCTAGAGCTAAATCGGAATTACAATTTCAATTTATTATAGAATGTAAAGTTTAATCCAATACAACAAAACGAAAAAAGAAGATAAAAACACAAAATTTCTCCACATGGAGGTGTGCATTCACTGATGAAAATTGATTGTGTTTGGCATTACTTTAATTAAGAGACAATATTTTATTGTTGAGACTGCAATGTATTCTACTTTTTTGTATTATTTCGTCTTAGTAAATTACTGTAACACTTACCTCGTTATCGTGCGGCGGAAGCTGATGCAACAATTGTCGTACTCGATATTGTTCTCCGGGACTGTTGACATATGGCACTTTATCATCGGAGATTTGTGAGAAATACAAACGCACCTGCAACGAAAATAATTGGAAAGTTAATAGCTGTTAATTTCATATAAAATTCAATATGAGGTCAAGGTAGACAATAAGAGATAAAATAAATGAAGTTCGAGCAGACCGAACTTTGTACACCCTCGACATTTCATGATCCAAATGGACACACCAAGGTGTGGAATTTGAATAATTAAATAACATTGGCATTTAATTTTCGGTTAGAGAATTAATATACTCCTAGAAAACTAAAACATGAAACCTGTACCAGAAATACATTTAACAAAATATATAGAAATATGGCGGTATTTTATTGAAGGTCGTAAAACTCGGTTATCTACAGCGGGAATTTGTTATTCTTTGTATTAAAAATGGTATGAGGTGACTTGAATTTGTACTGAAATCCTTCTTATATATAATGCAAATATAATGCAGCTAATGAAAAACGTGCGGGATTATTAAATAACGTATTGGTCAAACGGTGATGTTAAATCTCAGATATTACCGAAAAGTATGTAGAATATTTTTGTAGGGAATACAATGCCCAAAATGACAAATTATTTTTAATTCGGTTTTATAGCTCGTTACATGAGGGAAAATCTAAAACTGGAACTACACGGACGTTTCATATCCACTAGAACTGCAAATAGTAAATTACAGTTAAAAATTATATTTTATTGAGTATATGCTTAAATATTAATTGACATAGCGCATTTTCGAATTTGGCCCGCCTTCTGTGTATGTTGATTGCTTCGAAAATACAAGCCCCATAATAAAGGAAATGCGAATAATTTATAATTTTAAGTATTTGGTCATAAAGAAAACTTAAAATATTGGCAAGATGTCGAACGTCGCACTCAATGCATCGGAAGATATCTTCCCCACCACTTTATTTCGTCGATTTTGTATACTTCCCGTCACCCTGAAAGGAGGTAATTTCGGTGGCAAATTTTGAAACAAAATTTGAAAGCATAATACAAATAGTCAAAATACTGAATTCGACTGAAAAAAGTGTCTAAAATTCTCAGAATATCGACTTGGGTCAATATTAATAATTTTAGTGCGGAGATGTGGTGGCACCGTTATGAGAACCCAAAATAGAAAATTACGGCCAATTCGGTTGGAAAATCTGTCTAAAATCCCCAAAATACCGAATATTGGGGGGTAACGTTATATGGGGCTACACCAAAACGTGGACCGATATTTGTCATTTGCAACTCCAAACATCCTAGGAGTACTAGCAATTTAAGAGCTCAATCTTAAATCTTTATCTGGTATAAAAATCATGAGACAACCTGGCAACAGGAACAACTAAAAGGGTAGATCAAGTCCATTGGTCCACTCCTTCTGGTACCTCCCCCACAAATGTTTAAAATTTATTTATATCCAATACTTGTAAATCCAATATCAGGCGAATGGAATGTCCAATTTGAACCAAATTTTGCACAGCCAGTTATTATTGCCTAGACCCAAAGATATGATCCATTGGTCCTCTCCTTCTGGTACCTCCCCCACAAATGGTCAACATTTTCAATATTGATAAATCCATTCAGGCGAATGGAATGTGCGATTTGAACCAAACTTTGTACAACATATTATCTTTATCTAGCCTATATCAAGTCCAGATATGGGACCCATTGGTCCACTCCTTGCTTGTACCTCCCCCATAAATGGTCAACATTTTCAATATTTATAAATCCAATATCAGGCGAATGAAATTTCCGATTTCAACCGAACTTTGCGCAATCAATTACCTTTTCAAATCTAGATCAATAATTCAATATTTTATAGACGTATAAATTTAATTTGAAGCGAATTGAATAATGATCAACATTAAATCCGAAACATATGTGATAAAAACACTCTGTGAACCATAAGGGCTGTTTTACCTTCAGCCTTTAGGATAAAAATGCTTCATCGAAATATCGAATCAAGTGTTTCGGAACCAATTCCGTTTCAGACAATAGACCTTCTGTCCATCTTATACGTTAGTATCGAAATGCCCAGATAGGACAAAAATCGCCCCTAACACCTCAAAATTTCAATAATAGCTAGTATCCCATTTGAAATGGAACGTATATTTAGACTTATGGTGTACGTCAATTTCTTCAGGTATATTTCCCACAAATTATGATAATATTTATATTTCAAAAACTTTGATATTTTTTTTAAACGTTAGTAGTGAAACGTAATATCTAAAACTGAATGAAAACCATATTTGCAAAAAAAAGTTCACTGTAGGTCTATGTTTGGACATAGTCCTCATGGAAAAAATTCATCCCCATTTTCGTTATTTTGAAGGTTTCCCACACATTTCCCAATCTAAGGGGCTGGAATTTATCATTCCAATGCAATTCCAAACAAAAGTTGAAAAAAAACGTATATTCAAAAAATTTTATAAATATGTCTATGTTTTTTAAACATATAAAGTTCCCGCTTATTTTTCCGTCTGTCAAAGTTCCTAGCCCACTTTTCCGATCTGTAACGCGGAATTTAATATCTCAGAGCATATTCACAATGAGACAGTCCCGATATAAAGGTCCTGACACATAAAAGTTATTTTAATTGTCCTCCACACGGTAACGATCTTAAAGATCTTCTTACATGTTTTTCTCTCTTTATAATTATCTCTTTTACACGAAATTTCTCCCACATATCTACACAGGATTTTTAAATCAGTAATTGAAATAACAATCTGTGTAAGAACACTTTTACATATATCGCTAGTTACAACCGTATTCACTTATTTCCCTTTACCTTTTCTTAATGTCACCATGACTGATTTACATTCCTTGATGTCCAATGTGACAAATTGTTTTATCCGACATACTAACTGGACAATTGCCGGTAAATTTGCGTATAAACTTTAAACGAAAGCCTTGCCGGATATTTTTAACGAGATAATGGACAAATGTTTGGAAACCAGTCCATGAAATGTATTTAATTCATGATATACGACAGAGACATGTGGTAATTTCGTATAAAAAGGCAAAAACAAAGGGACCATCAAAAAATAATAAAAGGCTGGTCTCAATATTAATTTGCCTTTGGTCATACCCCTGCCGAATTATATCGCAATGTTCGGAATATATTAAACGATTTAATAAATTCGGACACACGAACGTGCCTTATAAAAGCATCATAGATTCATTTCGTTCAAATATTTTATTAAACTGCACAGTTTTGTTTTTGGTTCTGTTAAATGATTCATATATAAATTTGATTAAATATTGTTGGTTCTTTGTATGTCACAATCAAATGCCCTGTGAACGGACGAATGAGTCTTTTGATTGTTCAAATGAATATATCGGACGATGGGAGAGACAGGGAGGGAGAAGACCCTAAAACCGTATTTTATGAGGGTATATCAAACGAATTTGACTGACATGATGTTGGTAATAAAACGAAACGAAACCAAAAAAATCCACAACAACCCTGCTGATGGCAGTGCCAGACAAAATAAAAAATAAACCCCAAAAACAGAAGAGTCGACGGTCATAAAAAAGAGTTAAAAACAACATCATGGAAAAAAGGCAACAGGGAACAAGATTGCAGAAGATTTATTTTACAGCATTGGACAATTCACGGCAATAATTTATGCTACAATCATTTTCATTTTTTTTTTTGGTTTTTTGTTATTTTATTTCTGGGGAGATTGAATGAAACTAGCTGACTGAAAACGTAGTTCATGTATCATCAGCAGGAGCAGCAGCTGGGTTTCATTCATAGCTGTATTTAGAGTCAGGTTTGTTATTCTGCATTTTTTTTTTTTTTTTTTTTTTTTTGTAATGGAACCCCACACTTCAGTGCTAAGTATGTGCAACGTGTATGGTATTATTGGGAGTATTTAATCTTTTTTCATTTAAAAATAGAACTAAATAAATAAAAAATACGACATTTTTTTCGGTCGCTTCTTCTTTATAGATACAAATCCTGTAATTGATATTTTGATATTTTATTGGGTGTTTCGGTGAATTTATATCCTTTTGTGAATTTGTATTTCACCATAATCAACGTAATCGTAAAAAAATCTTGGTGCTTTGATATATTCAATCAGGTATAGGCAACGATGATGATGGATGAGTAGTATTGGAAAAACAGGATAATGGTTGTTCATTTTTTTGGTGATAATTTGTTAATTAAATATCTGCAGTAAATAATATTAAAGCAATTCTAATTACAGAAAACATAAAGCTTAAAATGTTTTCCAACACAGAAATATAACTATACTCCTGGCTGACTTTTGGGCTCAGATTTAAATTTCTAACAATGTAAATGAATGAATGCATCAAAATTAGGACAATTTATATTAGAAAATAATTTATTCTTGGAATATTGATCCATATATGAAAACATGTAATCCAATTTCTGAAGGCAAATTTTTATATTTATTAATTTGTTATTTGGTCCAAAAATTTCCATTGAGAAATTAAAAATTCCCAAATAGACTTATGTGCATAATTTTTAGGTTGTTCTGACACTCAGCAATTTTTAATGCAGATTTTTCCTAAAATCTCAAAACCCCAACACGTGGATCGTTATTGACAACGCATGGTATGGTGAACATGTGTATGAAATTCGCAAAAAACTGCAATTTAGAGTCAAAGTTATATGAGGCTACCATCACCGTACGTAGGATTTATAGGGTCGGACAAATAATATACCATCCATATGGTGGTGGCTAAATGCCGAATATTGTGCATTTCTGTATATGGGCCTATGGGAATATCTGGACCAAAATATTCTTTTTACAATATCAAACACCCTATGATGTTCTAGGGCGGTGTACTCTAAATACGTCCATGTGCAGAATTATTTATTAAAAACTTATATTTTAACGGTAAAAATCAGTGAAGAAATTATGCACCGAAGTTAGAATTTGTCAGATAATTAAAAATTATTGAGCACCAGTAGTAGTAGTAGAAGTATTTAAAAAATTGGGTTAAATATTACGTATTGTTTCGTGACTTCAAAAACAAACAGATATCGACACAAAATGTTGTTCTGATCATGAATATATAGTCTAATATTCCAATATGTTGCATATGTAATAATAAATTTAAAAGTTACTCTACTTCATGGTGGTGGGTAAAATGAAGAAGAAACAAATAATTAGGTCATAGCAACCTATTTTCCTATAACGAACATGACCTGTTTTCAATATTTCATTGCACTACTTTCATTCTGTTGTGACTTCGAAAAAAAAAACTGAAAATGAATCAAAATAAAATAAACCTGGCTATGGTCAAATATAATTGATTTATGTCTAACCACTCATTTGCATAGCAGCAATCACCCATTTTTTCAACATCCAACTAGGCTATGCTGCTGATGGTGATGACGTTGTGAAAGATGAATAGACAGATTGCTGAGAGAGCAAAAGAAGAAAAAAGAAAACAGTGTCAGGAGGGCAAATATAATTATCACAGTAAACTCAACTAAAGATATTTTCTAACACTGATTACAGAGCAAGAGAGGTCATAGTAGAACATTGTGAACATACCTGGTCCGGTCTAAGTCCCGGCGGTACCCATGTATACTCCTCCAGAGCACAACCACTATCATCATCTGAATGTGATTGTCGTTGGATGTCGAGGTGTTGTCCCACCATAAAGGGTGCATGGAAGCCGCCGGATGGGTGGTGTAACAGAGAGGGCGGTGATGGAGAAGATATGGCCGGTGATAACTGATGGGTTTGTTGGTGTGGATGTTGTTGTTGTGTTTGTTGCTGCTGCTGTTGTTGGTGTTGATGGTGATGAGGTGGATGCTTGAGCGATGATGAGGAATACTTAGAGATTGATGACGATGCAGATGCCGCAGGTGAGTATTGTGATGGCTGGTGCTGCTGCTGTTGTTGTTGCTGATGGTGATGTGGCGATGCAGTTGATGTTTGCTGTGGCTGCTGATGTGTCTGTAGATGTGGTGGCAGATACTGGTGGTGATGATGAGGATGTAACTGCTGCTGGTGTGGTGGTAATGGTGGCAAATGAGGCGTTTGTTGTAACTGCTGCTGCTGATGTTGTTGTTGAAGGTATTGACGTTGCATTGGCAATGGCGAAGTTGGTAAACCGGCAGGATTAAATAAAGCCCCAGCCGACGAACTACTGGGCATTGGCCCCGAAGTTGATGACGCTGCGGCTGTTGATGACGTTGAGACATTACTTTGTCCTAGATGTCTTAGACTTCCCAACGGGGGTAATGGTGGTGGTGTGTTTGAACTTGCCGATGGTCCCCCACCAGACCCTGCTGATACTGCCGAACTTGGTGAAAAATGACGCGGTAATGTTGGTATTTTCTGCAGATACGACACCTGTGTAAGCGGCGTTCGACTGATTGGTCTGTAAGAAGAATAAAAAATATAGAAAATAAATTAAATTTGAGCAAAAAAATGTACCAGAGATTAATGAAGGTCAGATATGCTCGTACAAAAATAATCCAAGCAATATTATCAATATTTTCACAATATGAAAGGAAAATCATTTGAGCCTTAACAGAATGTGCAAGTATTTTAGGGTTAGACCGTAACAAATCGAAAGTTAATTAAATTGTAAACGTGAGCATTTTGTTAAACTAGTGCTGTTCGGACGGACATCATGGCCAGTCTCTGTTTATCGACTAGCTTGATTGGTTCATTTTGTGTGAAGCAACGTACTGCATGCAGGGTTTAAAATGCTAACGCCAAAGTAGCAAAAACACAGAAAATTGCCGCACTGCTAACTAAATTCATCCTCAAAATATGCAGCACAGCAAAGCACAAGTGCAACAAATAGCAATGCATTACGAATAATTTTAGCAAGCAAAACTAAAGCTTCTGATTTTGTCAGCAGCTACAAAATAGCAATGAACAACTACAACATAATTGTCAACGCGACTAACAACCAATGCATACAACGAAGACTAAGCACTTTGACTGTGGCTGCTTAGCAAGATTTTTAGCAAACAAAACCCGAGCATTTTTCGAGTTCAGTGTTGCCCATTGAAATTTTATAAATTATATGAGAGAATTAAAAATCGCGATTATGATAATTTCATTTTTTCGAACAAGGACTATTAGCAATACTTGCTAAAGAGTTTAATTTAATATATTATTTAATTTTTAGAAATATTATTTACAGTTTTTGATTATGATTTGACAAGTTTAAATTAATTAAAAACGCACAAAATGAAATGTCTTTTTTTAATTTTTGCGTTGGCAACACACAAACATAAAAACAACCCTCGGCTGATTATTCGTCGGCAGCGAAATATGAATATGTAGTCGTACTACCGATTAGTCATAACAAAAAAAGCTCGCATGTGCAATACGTGCTTAGCACGGATGCTACGAACTAAAAAAGCTAGCCGTTTGCTGATTTAGTCGTAATGTCAATATTTTTTAGCAGCAGCTCTGTAAGACTAATGCTAATATTTTTGGATGCTGCATTTTAAACCCTGACTGCATGAAGTCGAATATGTACCTTTAATTTATGTAGAAGGAATTTAGCAACGCTAATATTATTGCAGTGTAAACTGCGAGCATATAAAAATAATTTATAAAATGGGTGTCCTTTTGAATGTTAACTTTTATTATTGTACAACTTTTGGAAATAGATTAGAAAAGCTAGACAAGTACAATGTCACATATTTATATTTTCTGAAAATTAGACAAGTCAACATAGACATACAGCCTTACCTAAAATTCGACTAGCTCGTTCGACGTTTTTCACCACAAAAGTAGAATGTTACCGAAATACGTCGAACGTACAAAATTTCAAGGTGAACAATTTAAACTTTGACAGAACGCATTTTTAATTTTTTTCTTTTGTTGAAAACAAAAACAAAACATTCTGGAAATCTCGAATGGAAACTAAAAATATGTGGATTAATTTAATAAATTTTCACTTTTGTTTTGCGGTTTGTATTATTTGCTTCAAGATACGGATTCGACGTATTTGGGTAATACGGCCGTACACAACATTTTGCCATAGTGAAAATCTTTTGTGAGTAAACTTCTTATTCACCACGAATCCCACTTGGGTGGGAAAAGGTGGATAACACCTTCGATGCACCGATAATTGGGGCTAGTCTTGAATCGAAAATTTTCTGCGAGGAAGTTTTTGAGCAATTAGCGACCCAGAATGCAATATTGCAGTCATTTAGGTTAGAAAATGGGCTTAGAATTATGAAAATATTTAACATTGGGTGGGACTTGTATATGAGGGCTATGTCAAAATGTGAACTTTTATTGAAAAGGGTCTGCAAATGTGTGGTTTGACCCTCCAACAACCAGGAATGCCAAACTACTACCGTGAATATTAAACATCCTAGGTGTAGTGCTTATGTATGTGTACAACTTCAAAAGTCTGTTTTAATTATTGAGAGTCTTATCTTGATTTGTATAGGCTAAATCAACAAATAATTTTCATCTGATTAAGAATATATACGATACATAAATTATTACTCGGTACCCGGTGAATATTTCGAGGTGTTACTCTATCTCTAAAGATGATCTCAAATTATATGTCATCTCAAAAATTTAACTATTAGGGCCACCAGCAAGAAATCGTCACACCATAACGTGTGGGTTCGTATTACACACACCCAAGGTCCTTTACATCCAAAGCTAATTTTTACTCCTCGACCATGAACTTTATTTGGAGGAACAGTGACATCTATTTACATATGTTATCCAATAGATGAATGACCGTTTGGGCACTTCATTCTGCAAGTCATCTATATATTTTGATACAAAGAACGTCTCCTGTATAGGGCAATGGCGTTTTCGTTATGAAGCAAAGTAAGGAAGACATCGTTTCACACCATAACGCGAAAAATTTAACTATGGCGATTTTGTCTTCTATGTTCGTATTACGTTCACTCAAGGTCTTTTATCCCCAAAAGGATAAAAGACCTCCTTTATAAATTTACAAATTTAGAAAATATGTGAGATTGTTCCTATATGCAAAGAAATAACGACCTGCAGGGAATTCAGTCCTCCTCTTTTTACAAAAGAATATACCCTGCACCCAATGAGAAAATCGATCAATTATTGTACCTTTTACTCATAATAGCTACCGGAAAGAAGAAGTCTAAAGCGAATGCCATAACAATGAATTCAAATTCCACCTTAACTACGACCGAAACATGAAACATTTAATATAGTCTAGGAAATTCCTCCTATTATTTGCATGCATTCGCTACAATTTCTACTGCGCATACAATGTTGCCAACACAATGACAATACTCCATTTGGGCAGACAACCAATTCGCATGTCCACCATTCCCTCGATGTCGATGTCTCTTCCATCAGTATCATAATCTATGGGAGTTGGTATTGTTTATTGTCTGTATCCCGCTGCCATGGACAGGGATCTCGTTTTCCGCAATAATGACTGGCCATGTTTGCCCACACGTTTATGGTAGCTTGGAGTATTTTTGGCGGTGGCCTGCATAAACAGCCACAGAATATTCGTATGCTAGCTTTTGTTTTTCTAGTTCGCCGAACATTTTGATGTGTCAATATTGTTACAGGCAGTTTTTGTAGTTGTTGTTTTGTGTGGCTACAAAAACAATACAGTTCGGTATTGTGGAGCTGTTTTATGTTTTATTTCATTTTGTCAGCGGCCTCCATAGAAAGTCCAAAATAAAAACGAAATTCACAACAATTGGCAATGTTGTGAAATCACAACAACAACAAGAATTCCACAATGGAATAACCGCAAATTGAAATTTAACCATTTTAATTGGTTTCGAACTCAGGTGTGGACTGTCGAACACATTCGTTTAATGATAACAGGATAAACAACATTAGTTACAATGCAATTGAAACAGTTGTTTCGAATTTTATTTCAAAAACAATAAAATGCAACAACTAAACACGAAGGTATTTAAACTGCCAATTTCATTAATAATTAAATGCATAGTACACCAAAATTATAAAGGACTCGGTTCGGTAAATATATACTGAAATTCATTCTAGGGAGAACTTGGCAATGATTCTATAAGTCATATTGTATTATACCAATAGAATAGAAATCTACCAAATATGTATACTGGAAACAGATGACAGATAGGAGAGACATCTAGAATTAAATTTTCATTCTGGAATTTAAAACAGAAAATCTTTTGTTTTAATCGGAGTTCGAACCGAATTTTGAATTTAGTGGGATATTGTTTACTTCGTAATATAAAAAATAAAAACGTCCTTAATTTAGGTCTGGCGAAAGGTTTTATAACTTCCACCATGTGGCGTAAATGTTGAGACTATGTCATTGTAAATTCTTCGTAGGTAGGTTGAAAATGAAATATTAAATAACTTCAACATACTGAAAATGAAGCGGAACTTTTACATTTTTTTACGTTAAACATGATCCTATATTGAAAATTTTCTGGGATGACGTATCTTTATCAGGAATCCGAAATACCAAAATATAAAAAGTGAAAAAAGTTAAGTTGGCCCGGACCGAACTTTAGATACCTTTGGAATACTGGCAGTTACTTTAAATTAAAATATAGGGAACAAACCAAAAATTAAACCTATACCGACAATTGTACCAAGCGATTGTTGTAACCAAAATGTACAATAAATACAAAATTCTGCAATTATTAGTGGAGATTTTTCCTAAAATTCCAGAACCCCAAAACGTGGACGGTTATAGACAACGCATGGTAGGATGAACCATGTGTGTAATAACCTCAAAATACTGCACTTTAGAGAGCGAAGTTATATGAGGCTATCTCTGATGTGTGTGGGTCAGTGGTTCAATTTGAAATGTTAATCGTTTGTGTAAGTCCCAGGAGGTTGTACCTACAGATGGACCAATACTGATTACATCGTGTAGGACTTAGCGAATATTTGGGGTTATCATTATATGAGGGGCTATGCCTATTTAATGGCCGATATAGTTCAATTTTGAACCTAGTCTTTTGGTTTTGTATCTCAATACCTTCCACGACGATACATATTAGTAATAATAAACAGACAATATGGTGGAATGCGCCTATATGGGGACAACCCAAACACACGGAAGAAAAAATACCCCAAAGAGGAGGCGAACATAAATAATTTTTGGTATTTGTGAGATTTGTGATAGAATTCTTAATCTTTAACGAGTGGGTCACGAAAAAATGCGTCAATAAAATTTAAAAAATGTTAAATCTGTATGGGCAATTGGTCATTTATACCAGACACAAAAAATTACCTTTCCAGCCACTTTGGTGGGAAATGCGGATAAACTGCCTAAAAATGTAAGATATTGTTCATCCAACAACACCAAATACCAACTGACACCAACACTTCAATATCCTTAGTGTTACTACGGGCCTATTTTCAAATTTTTTTCAAAGACGCTTTTTTATG